TATTATTTTTTTTATTACCGTAATATTATATTATCGATAAGAGCTACAGCCACGCCACCGCCACTACCACACCCTCTCCACCCTTTTCACAATAAATAATTTTAATCGTTTAATTTATTATTTAAAAAAAAAAAAATTACCGGAGTAATTACTATTATTACTACTACTTCATTTTCAATAATAAAAATGATTTAGAAATTTCTAGAATCTTTTTCTAAATACTATTACACGTGGAAAAAACTTTACAAAAAAAAAAATTTTAACGGTTTTTTCAAAAAAAAAAAAAAAAAGGTTTTCGTAATTGTTTAATTAAAGGTTACATACGTACACGACATGTTATATCATCTAACATTTAAAAAAAACGTTACGTATAAGTTTTTGTCTTAAGGTTATGTTACTATCATCATTATTATTATTATTATTATTATTATTATTTTAACAATGAAAAGGTTAAGATTGCGATGAAACAAACGTTGTTGAAAAAAAGAAAAACAAATTGTTTTTGCAAATCGTAATAATAATAATAATAATAATGTTGTTTTTAATAATTAGGTTAATACAAAAAAAAAATTAGTCAACAACAACAACAACAACACGAAATAAATAATTTAAATAAGCCGAATCATTTTATTTAATTATTCTCGAAATAATAATAATAATAATAATGATAATGATAATAATAATAATCTCGTTTGATTTTCGTTTCAAATAATTTAATTTCACTTTCGAGTTTGTTTTTCTTGTCAGGTAATAAATTCGTAAGAACATAAATCAAAACGTTTATGATGTATTATTATTATTATCATTATTATTATTATTATTAATTTACGTAAGTTTTTTTCTTAATAAAATTATTGTAAAAGAAAAAGAGATTATGGTTTTTTCCGTTTGCAAAAAAAATTAAAACAAAGGAAATTATGTTTTTGACAGTTTTAGATGCATCCGGACGTTACAGTAACGGTTTTTTTTGGGGTAATAATTATTGGACGGGTTCGGAAACATTATGTTATAATGTCGGCCTTAAAAGAAGACATTATTCGTATAATGGAATCGTAGGAAATGCGGCTAATAATAATAATAATAATTTAGCAGAAGATGAAAATTCTCCATTTCCTTTAGGTTTTTTTAAAATCAAAGCGGAAATTCAACTTCCCAAACGTTTGGAAGTGGTAAATATTAAACATTTTTGGGAAAATTTATTATTTAAATTTTTTTTAAAAATGTAATTTGACGATGGATTTTTTGCAGAAGAAAACGGTACTCATAGGTGTGTGCGCACCTCTTTCGTGTAACGAAAAAGACATGAAAATAATTTTAAACATGTCTTTATCAAATGATAATGATAAAAATTCGACGAAAGTTAAAATACTGGAAATGAGAACACCCCATAACGTTTATTTTTTTTGGAAAGATTCAACTTTTTGGATACTCGTGTGAGTATTTATTTAATAAAAAATTACAAAAAGGTTTTAAATAATGAAATGAAATTAAATTTTTTAGCGTCGTGTCTGGAATTGTTGGAATTTTAGTGATTGCTGGAACTGCTTACGATATTTTAAGAGTTAAAAAATATCGTAAAGTTTATCAATCTCAGGTATCAATACAAAATTATTTGGGAAATGAAAATGGAAAAGTTAAATTAAATCAAGTTATCACCTGTCGTCCGAAATGTTTAAATTTTGGTAACATAAAAATTTCTATTTGTTAATTATGTTATTGTTTATTATGTTTATGTTTTTTATTGTTTACCTTATTATTTATTTAAATGTTAGATTCAAACGGTGTTGGAAAATTAGATGATAATTCGAATGCACTCGATGCCATTGAAGGCTCGTCTGTAGGTTCCGACGTCGAATTAGGTACGAATTAGGTTTTTTTTTGTTTAAAACCTTTTATTAAATAAATAAATAAATAAATAAATTTTTTGTTTATAGAAATGTGGGAAAAAATGTTTTTGTCATTTTCTGCAAAAAGAAATTTAAAATCCATATGTAATTGTGCTGTTAACGTTGACACGATACCTAGCATACACGGATTAAAAGCTTTAAGCATGGCTTGGGTCATATTAGGTCATACCTGTATCGTCATTTTTAAATATTCAGGTGATTATAAGGTCCCCCACCCCCCTTTTTTCTTCGCAATCACGATAAATTAACGATGATGTAATTTAATTTTAGATAATATGGAATTTAGAACGGCTGCAGAAAAAGAATTTATAGTTCAAACAATAACAAACGGTACATTTTCCGTCGACACATTTTTTTTCATAAGGTTTGTCGTTAGGAAAATTTATTCATTTATCATCATTATCATTATTATTATTATTAAAAAAAATATTTTTATTTTCCAGCGGGTTGTTGGTATCGTTTTTATATTTTAGAACTACGGCAAAAGTTGATGTTGATAGTTTGACGGGAGCAAAAGGGATAAAATCAAACATTTTACAATTTATAGGATTGTTGGCTTACAGATATGGAAGGTTTGTGCGTGTGTGCACGCGTGTGCACGTGCGAAAATGAAATTTTTTTAATTATTTATTTATGCTTGCTATTTTCAGGCTCACGGCTCCGTACATGTTTGTATTGGGTGTGGTACAAGTTTCGATGAAATCTTTTTATTACAATTCAGTTTTTGATTCTCCCACTTTGGATCATAGAAATTGTCCTAATTATTGGTGGAGAAATGCTTTGTACATAAATACACTATTTCCGGTTAACGAAATGGTATTTTTTATTAACCCTTTTTAATAAGTTAGAAAAAGAAAGAAAGGAAATGCTGAAGTCGTACCTAATTTTCTTCTTTTTTTTTTAGTGCATGCTCTGGAGTTGGTACCTATCGGACGATACTCAATTTTACGTTTTAGGAATTATTTTATTAATTTTAGCTCTCTCGTAAGTATTATTATTATTATTATTATTATTATTATTATTATTATTCCAATTAAATATAAATAATATTAAAATGGTTTTAATGTGGTATTTCAGACGTTTCAAAATGGCCGCAGTTATTTATTTTATTTGTTTAGCAAGTTCTTGGGTGACTACAGCATATATCGCCTATTCAAATAATCACATGCCCAGGTAAATAGTAATAATAATAATAATAATAAAGCGTTATATTTTCGAATAGTTTTTAACGTGAGAATGATTATTTACAGTCAAGATGATCCTCTCGCACTTTTCGATAAAATCTACGATAAACCTTGGACGAGATTAGGACCTTATTTGATAGGAATGGGTGTCGGTTGGATTCTTTATAAAACAAATTGTAAAATAAAAATGAATAAAGTGAGTTAAATTTTCCTCTCTCTCTCTCTCTCTCTCTCTCTCTCTCTCTCTTTCAAGACGTGAATTTAAAAGAAAATTGTTTTTTTTTTAGATTTCATTAATATTAGGATGGTTAATATCTCCGTTAGTTATGCTGATATTAGTCTACGGTCTTTACGAAGTTAATTTAGATTTATTAACAAGTTCTGCTTATTCATCATTGAGTCACACGGCATGGGCATTAGGATTGGCATGGATAGTTATCGCCTGTTCAACAGGTTATGGTGGTTTTGCAAATAAAATATTATCATCGAGCATATTATATCCGTTTAGTAGAGTTACATATTGTGCATATTTAATACATCCCCTAGTTATTAGATTTATGATAATTAATTTGGACAGTCCGTTGCATCTTAATAAACAAGTAACGGTAAGTATACAATCTCTCAGAATACAAGAAAAAAAAAAAAAATTACTTTCATGTACATAATTTTTTTTTTTAAATTTTTTTTCAGTTGTTTTTATTTTTTGGACAAATTGTTGCTTCCTATATATTATCATTTATAATATCATTATTATTCGAAGCACCGCCTGTTGCACTTTTAAGAATTATTTCACCTACAAGATCTTCTTGAATTTTTTTAAAATTAAAATCTTTAATTCCAAAGAGACTTATTTACTTACTTTTTGTTGTTTGTTTTTATATAAAAAAATTAATTTAATTATAATTATTGTACAAAGTTTTTTAAATTCTATGTATCGCACTGATTTTGTTTTTTTTTTTTTTTAATTTCATTTGATTCCTTTTTAATTTAGTCATTATAAATATTTTATTTAAAATAAATTATAAATAATTTAATTTTTTCATTAAAAAAAAAAATGTTTTTCATTACGATTTCTATGTACATTAAATAATAATAATAATAATAATAATAAAAATTGTTATTTTTCTTTTACTCATACCCCTCCCTCCTCTCCGCCTTCGCCCCTCCCTCCTCTCCGCCTCGCCCCTCCTTCGCTTTCTCCGTTCCGCCCCCTCCCTTTAACCATTCATTCAAGCCGAAAATTTTTAAAATTAATAAAAATCATTATTATTATTATTATTATTATTATTATTAATAATTTAAAAAAAAAAAAAATGAAAATACTTTTCACCAATATTATAATTTATTCGTCTGTAAAAGTATATTTAATAACAATTAATGTAAAAAAAAAAAAATTTATCACAAATTATTCGATATTATTATCATTATTACTATTATTATTATTATTATTACGCATTAATATTATTATTATTATTATTTTTTTTTTTTAAATTTATACATATAAAATATTATTTAAATATTGCATACGATTTATATATGGACGGTTTCACTGATTCGTTAAAAAATAATAATAATAATAAATATAATATATAAAAAAAATATATATGATCGTGTATAAATTTGTCTTTTTTTTAGAATAAATCGTTTAAAAATATTAATTAATTAATTATTTCCTATATAAAAAATTGATCCTTACACGATTGTGTGATTTCGTAAACAAACAACAAGCAAACAACAAACAAAAATGCAATATAATAATAATAATAATAATAAAATATAAAAAAGTGACGCAAATTACAATATTATTATATAAGGAATGAGCTGCTCTTTCATTTATTTATAACTCAATATACGATAAATCCATTTTCCTTCAAGATTTCAACTTAGCCCCACATTAAAATATGTTATTCGATATGAAATATTATCATTATTATTACTTTTATTAAACCTACGTGTAAGTAATAAAACTATATTCTAATTTTTTCTTTGGAATATTCATTACATTAGTAAACCGAATCATTTTTTTTTTTTTTTTTCGTCTAAAGTTACTTATTACATATACGATTAATTAAATTAATTAATTAAATAGTTATTTTTTTATTAATTAATAAAAGTCATGATTAATAAAAAATTAAATTAATTTGGACGGTAGCCCTTATAAGTACATTTAAATATGCATTCGCCGTGCATTCGTCACTCTCTCGTCAATCAATTTATATTATTATTATTTATATATTTTTATAAAAATCGCGTAAAACGACAAGTTTTTTAAATTACCGCGTTATAAAAATATAAAACGTTTCTTAATATATAGCGTCCATCTTGAAATATATCAAAGATTAAAATAAAAAAAAAAAAATTGTACTAAAAGTTGTTAAAAAAAAAAAAAAAAAAAAAAGACTTACCCTTGGTTACTTCCGGAGTGCTCTTTTTAGGTTTCGCGACATTCGCGAGTTGCCCTGTAATAAATAAATAAATAAAGAAAATTGTGAAATACAAGGGGAGGGGGGGGGGAAAAAGTAAAGTTTTCCGCGTTTTACAAAATTTCAAAAAAAAAAAAAAAAAAAACATTTAAACAAATTAAATAAGTCTTTCTTCCGGTGGAGGTTTCAAAACGTTATCCATTTCTACTCTCGGATTGCAATATTCTTGTTGAGAAGGAGAGTAGGTTCCTCTCGTTGCTCGTTTTTTTCTCGCCATCATTATAAATATCGATAATCCAACGCCGCCGGCCAAAAGAAGAAAAGCGACAATTGGACCGACTATGATGGCTATGTCGGCAGGACTTGCGCTTTCACCCACCTCAAGCTGAAATTTCATGATAAATGACAAAAGGTTTAAAATTGGAAACAAAGTAAATTATAAAAGTAAGTTATTTGTAACGTTTGTACCTCCGTGCAATTATAACCTCCGTATCCGCTCATGCACTTGCATTCGTACAATGGTTGATCGGTGCATTTTTCGATGCAAAAACCTCCATTTTCGCAAGGATTTTTCTAAAAAAAATTAAATATTAATAATAATAATTTAAATATTACATATATATATATAAATTAATAAACGTGATTTTCGTACAGTGCAAGGATCGGATATGTTGCAATTCAATCCGCACATTTTTTGTTCGCCTTTGGGATCGCAAATGCACTTGTAAGAACCGAACGTGTTATTGCAAAAACCGTCGCCGCATAGAGTTTTGTCTTCCTCGCACTCGTCAACATCATTCTCACAGAAAATCCCCTCGAATCCTTCCTTGCATTCGCATTCGAATTCGTTTATCTTATTAATGCAATACCCGTCGTTTTGACAAGGTTCCGATTTGCACTCGTTAACGTCTTCTTCGCAATAAAGGCCTTCGAAACCCGGGTTGCAAATACACGTCGGAGCACCTTTCATGTGATCGCACACGCCGTTGACGCATTCTCTTTCCAAGCAAAAAGGTATATCGCAATGCCGTCCGACGTAACGAGTCAAACAAGTGCACGTATAATTGTCACCAGTGGCCTTATCTAAAAATGTAAAAAAAAACATTAATTAATTTTTTAAAAATAATTAAATTATTAGGTAAACATAAAAAATCTTACTAAAAGCGTTCGTGCAAGAGGACCCTCTTTTACATGGACGATCTGCACATGTTATTATCCTTAAATTTTCGCAACGTTCTCCGCTATAAGATTCCTTACAAATACACTTAAAAGATCCAATTTGATCCACGCATTCTCCGTTCACGCAGGGATTAGACGCGCATTCATCAATATTAATTTCGCAGCGAACACCTGGAAAAATGTATGTTTTTAAACAAAATTTCTTTTCGTAATACAACTACCATTAGAGCTGAAATTTATAAAATATTTTGATACGCACCGGAATATCCAATCGGACAAGAGCAAGTAAAATTAGCGATTCCGTCAACGCAAGTAGCTCCATTTTCGCAATGACTCCCCTCACCCTCACACCAATCAATGTCTTTCGAACAATCACTTTCGGTAAATCCTACAGGGCAGTCGCAAGCAAACGTCGTATTCGGATCCAAGCAACTAAAACAATAAAATTTCATTTAGTTAAAAAAAGAATAAATTGTTATGAAGTGAGGTTTATTTTTGGGGAATTCAAAAATTAATAGGAAAAACAAATGGAATAATAATAATATTTAACTTACGTTCCTCCATTCATGCAATCTTCTTCGTAGCATAAAATACATCCCGTTTCCTCCATTGAACGAGCAGGAGCAGAGTCTAAAGCAAAATAATTTTTAGCCGTGAAATTTTCATTGTACAAATAATCCGGTGTAAAAAAGGGAAGTAAAAGACTTCCTATACGTATTTCGCCCAAACATCCCTGAAAAAAAAAAGAAAAAAAAATATTAGGAAAAATTTAATTTAATTAAAAATTTTATTTAATGAAAATGATATTACCTTATAAAATCCCCCGAGGAAATCGCCAGACGGTATATTCACTGAATTGGTAGAAACTGGAAAATGCTCTTCGTACCTATTATTAAAATAATAAATATTTTATTAAAATTTTTCATTTATGTCTTTTACATATATTTATAAGCACGTTATCTTACTTGAATTTGCTATCGACTCCTCCCACAAAAATTTTTCCCCTTTGCAATAAAGAACGCCAAGCTTCAACGGGAAAATTATTCACTGTAAAATCTGCATCTGAAGCATCTGTGAAACCTCCTAAAAGTTTGCCATTTTTCATTTTCATATATACCGACGTCCATTGCCCTCCTCTATCCCCGTGAAACCTAAAAAATCATTTTAAGGGATGTCATTAGGGCCGAGTTTAGCGAAATTGAAAATTAAAGCCCAAAAAAATTTCGGAAAATTTACTGCTTGATATCCCCTGGAGTATCGTCTAATTTCCATATTATAGTAACTTCATCCCTATAAACTGAAATTGAAAGATAGTATTTGTTGTCTGATACGTGAAGTATTGTTCCACCAAATCGAGTCCGGTATACCAAGTTAATAGAATCCAAAATGACATCTTCGAAACCTCGTTGTTTAGAATTTCCGACGAGCGTATAACTCAATAGATCAGATTTTAAACCGCGAAGTGTAATATTAGCTACGCATTCGTAACCGTCATCAAGGTTTCTGCATTGACTTCCGCTAGGACAGTCTTGAAGTTGACAGAATTCCATTTCCTGACATGATTTACCCTTATATCCTCTTGGACATTTACAACTGTTAATAAAACAACAAAAGCGTTTTAAATAAAATTTATAAAACAGAAAATTAACAAAATTTTTTTTTTTTGTATAGATTAATCAAGTTATAAATTAACCAAAAATTACCTATAATCATTCCATGTTATTGTGCAAGATCCGTTGTGCAAGCAAGGATCACTTCTGCAGGTATCGTCTGATATTTCTCCCTCCAAAACTGTATTTTTATCAAAAGTTACCTCTCCAAATTGAGGAGGAACTTCTAAATCGGCGACTTTCAAAGGAAAAAATTCAACGACCCATTTCGACCGCGAACCTCCACTTATCTAAAATGAAAAAAAAATTTTTTAATGATTTTAAGATTCTCCTATATTATTTACTTCGTGAATGGCTCTAAACACCGCAATTCTTACAAATTTTGCATTGATTAAAGTTGAAAATATACTCACTTGAACGTCCTGAATGATTCCTTTAAAACCAGCAAAAACCGAATCGGGTTTAGAAGAGTCCACTTTCATTTTACTATCAGGTGCTATTTCAATTCTGCTCGTAGGAGGTGACTCGATTTGTCTTTTAATGCGTGGAAGAGAATGAACGGCTACGTTGGTATGCACGTCTTCATCGAGTTTAAAATTACTTAAAGGCGACAGCTTTGGCATTCCTCCCAAATATAAAACGTCTACATTTAAATGATCCGACGCTCCTATAGTATTTTTAAAATATTCTGTATTATTAATTCGGAATTGAACTAATGTGCTATTCCTTACAACCTGAAATAATAATAATAATATTTAAAACTGCACGCAGTTTAACATTATTTACTTGTATAAACAACTTTTACTTGTATAAGATGTCTGTAACCATTGTCCAACTTCACACCTCCAACACTGTACGACTCTTGATTTTCATCAAACTGTATTTTAACGCGTAGTTCTCCACCTTCTAGTTGAGCTACTATTGAGGTTACTTCGTTGTAAGAAACAGAGCCTGGCTCTGTACCTAAGTAGAATATTAAACCTCTATCTTGTCTGGTTCTTATGAACATAGAAATATCCACTATATTTCTTACAGCTCTTTGAGTTGTTTCATTGACCAAAACCATAACATAGGAGGAAGTGATGTTTTCATGGCCGAATGTGGCAGCCGTTAAATCTAAAAAAAAAAAAAAACATGGTTTAATTTAAAAAATTCAAATAATTTTTAGTTCGTATTATTATTTTCCATACTAACTGTATTGACACGTGTGTCCCAAATACGGCCTTTCACAAGTACAATTAAAATCACTCCATAAATCAGTACAATGGCCTCCACTATGGCATGGATTAGGGTTACATTGCTCTTCTCGAGGACACCCAACTTCAACTTCAACTAATACTATGGGCGATTCTTGAATGTCTTGAGGTATAACCTAAAAAAAATTTTTTTTTTTTAAATCGAGAAAATATTTCAGTAATTATTTATATTTATTACGCTACTTTTTTTTTTCATTATTTTTAATAAAATTTACTTACCCATTCTCCGTTGACTTGCACATCTTCGGTACATCCGATAAAAGAAGTAGGACCGTGAATTAAATTTTTCAAATATGATGAAGTACCGCCTAAATATGTAGTTTGAAAACTGGTGTGAGATGTGTTAGCTTCATTCAGGCTAATAGGATATATAGTTTGTTCTTCGTTGGCAGCCAGTACCAAATGTGAAGCATTTATTGCCACGAACACCTGAATAAAAAAATTTTTTTTTAACTTTATGAAAGTTAACAGCAAAACGAAAATATTAATAAAAAGTAATAAATAATATTTTATTACCTTTTGCCATTTGCTATCGTTCAAACCGGAACCAACAAAAACACCTTCCCATTTGTTTAAAAGACTAGAATGGAGATTTAATCGACCGTTAACTAATTCCAAAATGTAGAACGTTAATCCTTTGCCAATAGCAAGCAAACCATTGGGTAAAGTCGTTTTAAATCGAAATTGAATATCATATCCTTCTTCCCTGGTTGTATTTACAAGAACGTGAGATGTACCTCGTAAAGACATGGTCGTACCCTAAGGCAGAAAAAAGAAAATTTAGTAATATTTAAAGTTAAGTTTATTAAACTACTTAAAAAAGTTCACACACGTGTTTACCTTTTCGCAAAGTTTTCCGTGAAAACCATTTGGACAACTGCAATTAAATTTATGTTCAACTTCATTTTCTAAATAAGGCAGACAAACTCCATTGTTTTCACAATTGTTTTTGGTGCAGCCAATTAGAGCAACGGAACAATTTTTACCACCGAATCCATAAACGCAATCGCAATAATAATCATTTTTTCGATCCGAACAAGTTCCGTTTATGCACGGCCTGTTGTAAAATAATTAATCACACGTTAGTTAAATTTACAATACCTTAAATTAAAAATATTTTCTTCCAAATTATTTTGAACATACCTGTATCTTTCGCATTCATTAATTTCTATTTCGCAATACTCTCCTTCGTAACCATCTTCACACTCACATTTATATCTTCCAATTTCGTCTTTACACGATCCAAAATGGCATGGGTTACTGTCACATTCATTTATGTCTTTTTCACAATTCACGCCGACGGTTCCTGGGACGCAAACGCATTCATACCTTTAACGAATCACAAACAAGGAAAATTTGAAAATGTTTTCTTTTTTTTAAATTTAGAAAGTTCGGCTTGAATTAAATAACGTAATGACAAAAAGGCATATTACCCTACAGCTTCCTTAAAATTAAAATCTTTGGAAAAAACATCAGGCAAGCTAATGTTATTGCTTAATTCATAAAGAGTTCTATTTGAAAGTTCCAAGCAGGTGCCTCCATTTTGACAAGGAAGAGACTCACATTCGTTTATATCTATTTCACAGTTCAAACCTAACAAACAAATTTACTTTTTGAAATCAAATTATTGATTTCTTTAAATTTACTCTGATAATATTTATTTTGGTAAACCTTTAAAAAACATTTTTTGACGTACCTGAATAACCTGGATGGCAATTACATTTATACCCTTTAACAAGATCAATACACTGAGCATCATTTGTACAAGGATTACTAACGCAATCGTCTATATTTAATTGACAGTTCTGACCGTAGTAACCAGTATCAGTGCAATTACATTCATAACTATTAATACCATCAATGCAAATTCCACCATTTTGACAAGGTTGAGGCTAAAAAAATTTAAACATATCATTTATTAATCGTTTTTAACATGGAATTAATTGCAATAATTAAAATGTATTACTTCGCAATCATCTATATTAGTTTCGCACATAATTCCGGTGAGGCCGGGAGGGCAAAAGCAAGTGAAGCCAGCCACTTCATCTTGACAAGTCCCGCCATTTTGACAAGGATTCGATACACACTCGTCAATATTAATACCGCAATTGACTCCCGTATATCCTGGCTTACAAATACAATTGTAACTGTTGATCTTATTTTCACATACTGAATCGTGCAAACATGGTTTTGATAAGCATTCGTCTACGTCAATATCGCAATGATTCCCAGCATATCCTGGCAAACAGTAACACTGGTAACCACCTGTAAATAATATATATGTATTTAAAAAGTTGAAAATTGTCATTTATTAAGCAAAAGAAAATTTAATAAAAAAAAAAAAAAAAAAAAATTACCGAAAGTATTGTAACATATGCCAGTATTGCAAATAGTACGATTTTCATTGCATTCATTAATGTCTTGATCACAATTTGTACCAGTTATTCCATTGGGACAAACACAAGAATATCCGTCCCCGATGGGTAGACAAGTTCCATTATTGCAAGGAGAATTAGAGCAAGGATCTAACGATTTAACAGTTTTAGAGCCGGGTAAATTGCATGAAGTATTACTTTTTGATCCGTCTGAACATACTGTATAATTATCGAGGCAAGCTTCTCCAATACAATCTGTTATATTCAATTCGCAATTTAAGCCTTCGAACCCTAAAAATGAAAAGTCTGACTTAGTATATTGATAAAAATATATATTTAGAATTAACTAAGAAATTTAAAAAAAATTACCTGGAAGACAATCACAAAAATACTCTTGTTCATTTTTAGGATAACAAATACCATTATTTAAACAATTTGAATATAAACATGGATTTGGAACCAGTTGACAATGATCTCCAAAATATTCCTTGGGGCAAACACAAACATAGCCATTTAATACTCCATAACAAGTACCGCCATTTTGACACGGATTTAAAGAGCATTCGTTAATTTCACAAGTTTTTCCTATAAATTGTTTCATTATTTTAATGCGTAAAAATAAATTATTAAACTTTTTCCAGTTGTTTGTAAAAATAATAATTATTCAAACGTTTATTTTAAATATGTTTTGTATTTAATAATAATTTTTAATGCTTACCTTTGAATCCCGGCTGGCAATAGCAAAAAAAATTATCTTCAAATTGTAAACATGTTCCATTATTTTTGCAGACGTCTACTGCGCAAGGAGATAATGTTTCGTTTTTGGCGCACGTCGGAGGAATTTCTGTAAAAATTAAATTAGTTAATTATAAAAATTATGTCACATTTTAAAAAATATAAAAGAGAAAAGTTAAAATAAAAATGATACCATCATAACCAGGCTTGCAAGCGCAAAAGTAAGATGCGATACCATCGACGCAAATTTGACTAGGAGAGCACGGAGGAGGTTGAACGTTACATTCATTTATATTTTTTTCGCAATTTTTACCGGTAAAACCGGGTCTGCAAACACACTCATAACTGCCAATTTTGTCCTCGCAGCGAGCGCCATTTTGGCACGGCTCCGAAATGCATTCGTTTAAATTCTGAAAATTACAAAAATTTATTTGAAAAGTTCAAAAAAAATTTTAATTGCTTTAAAAAGTACTTACCAATTCACAATTGTGACCCCCGAAACCAGAAAGGCACTGACAAGTATATCCCCCATAATTGTCAAAACACACTCCTTCATTCAAACAAGGATTGGTTGGCTCACATTCATTTATGTTAATTTCACATTGGGTTCCAGTATATCTAAATATTAATAAAAATAGTAATAAAAAAAAATGTTTAAATATTAAAAAAACAAAAAAAATAATAATGATGATAACATACCCTGTTCGATCACAGTTGCAAATAAAATTGTTTAAACCGTTTTCACAAAGCCCTCCATTTTTACAAGGTTGCAACTGACATTCATCTACATCCAATTCGCATAATGGTCCAATAAAACCCAAAGAACACACACATTCTCTTCTATTTAGAGCTGGTAAAGTTCTACAAGTTCCGTTTCCTTTACAAGGATTTTCATCACACGGTAAAGCCTCAGATTGTAATTCACAATGAATACCAGTATGTGTTGCATCACAGATACAACTATAATTTCCCCAAGGATCTTCTTCACATTTTCCATTATTTTGACAAGGATTTTGTTCGCATGGTGAACCTAAGAAATGCATTTACATTGTTTAATAATAATAATATAAAATCGTTTTACATTATTATTAATAATTAATTTTTTTATATAATTAAAATAACAACATAATATAGGTAACATTTTTCTAGACAAAGCAGCTTGCTGAAGAAAAAAAATAAAAAAGTATTACCTTTATCAATTTCACAATGTTTTCCAGAAAATCTAGCATTGCACTTGCACTCATATTGGTCATTCACTGGAATACAAATTCCATGGCTCATACACACATCACTATTACAAGTCTCCGCTTTCACACCTAAAAACAGTTTATTTCATCATTATTATTTTAAATTGTTATTTAAAATTATGTTAATAAATAAATAAATAAAAAAAACTTACATTCTATGGAATGTAAAACACATGGTCCCCACAAAACATTGACTGAGTCTAAATTAGACGAATGAAAAACTATACTTGGACCTTCGAGAATACAACCCACAAATCCATTGCCTATTTTTAAAACTGACCCACCATCTGTAAAATTTTTGCTCAAAAGGTCTGATGATTTATTTGCAATCACCTGTAATTAAAAAATTAATTTTTTTTTTTTCCGTAATATTTCAAATTCGAAAATTTGTTAATTAAAATTAATCCAAAACTTAAAAAAGAATAAATCCATTTATATTTTTTCAAATCGTAAAAAAAAAAAAAATTACCTGTTGCTGCCCTCCAGCATATAATGTCAAATTACCTAGCCTATATTCGAGATTAACTACCTGCCACTCATTGTTCAACAAACGAACAGGTAATTTGGTTTCATACTGTTTTCCATTTATTTTATAATTAAATAATAAACCATCTGGCTGAACGAAAAGAGAAATCTAAAAAAAAAAAAAATCAAAATTAAAACATTCACATAAATAAATGATACTAATTATTAATTACTTTGCTTAAAACTTAATAATGTTATAAAAATAATAAATAAGTACATTAATTCTAGACAATTATAGGTACTAAATAATAAAATATAAATCACTGCAAATGTCGAAAAGTATTTAAAAGAATGGCTTTTACTTATAAAAAAAAAATTTTTTGCGACAATTAAATTTAGAACCAAAAAAAGACAACAATTAAACAATTATTTTTTGTTAATGTAAAATGAAAACAAAAAATAAAAATTTTATTAACAAGTAATATTTATATTGTTTCGAGCTATAATTTTTTTTTATTTCCTTTACCTTATGTGTAATTAGTAACGATTTTTCTAAAAAAAAAAAAAAAATAATAACAATAATAATTTAAATTTTTGTACAACTGCTACTTCAGCTACTCTTCTTGAATTTATTTTTAGGAGAATTTATTAAAAATATTAAATGATACTTACCAAATTGCCATTTGTTTCTTGTTGTTCAAATAATTTTCCTCCTACGCATGACTTGAAACTTAAACCGATGTGATCATAAAGAGAAAGTGAGGTACTTAATTTTGCAAAAGAAGATCCATTAAAATAACCTTCTCTGAAACCATTTTCAGCAGCAACACAAATTGAAGCAATTATTGTAAAGGCCACATTTAAAAGGCATCCAGCTGAAAAATTTACAAAAAAAAATTTGAATTAATTTTCTAAAACTGATGACATTATGAATGACAAGTTTTGAATTTGTACATAAAACCAAAATTGTAAAAAAATTTTTAATAAAATAAAACCTAACAAATTAAAGTACGGCAAAAAAAAACAATACAGGTATATAAAGTACATAAAAAATCATAATGAGAACTAAATGATATTTGTGAACGGCACCGACCTTTCGGATGAGTAATTTAATGAACAATAAGCCTAAAGTTATAGTTAATAACAAACTATGGGTTTTGCAATGCTTATGACTCATTCAAAAAAACTGATTATTTTAAATTGATTTTTAAACCCAAAAATTTTACGCAATTAAATGTATTTTACGGTTTAAAATAAAATTTACCGTGTAAAAGTTATGTACCAAGTAATTTACTTGAATTTGAAAAATAAACAATAATTTAGAACAGTCAAAAAAAAAAAAAAACGAATTTTAATTTTTAGTAAAATAATATCATAAAAAATATTACTTACCTAAAAGGCACTTTACTTTTACAGAAAACATATTATAAAAAAACTATAACATATTAAAAAAATATAATAAATAATCCTTCTGAAAATTTATTATTTTACTGAGTAACAAGTTCCATTCCTGAAGTTTGTTTTCCAACAAGTGTGTGATGTTGGCAGCATTAAAATCAAATCGCAATGCGCATGCGCCATTTTGAATTTCTTAACATTTTACGCGGGAATTTTTCAAAACAAACTTTTTTTTTTATTAAAATCCGTTACAATGCAATTCTGAGCAATTTTAATTATTTTATTTGTAAAATTAATGATTTGTACTGAAAGACTAATATTATTTAACATTTTTTTCTATAATAAATTAACTCATACTACTAAAATTAAAGAAAAAATCTACATAAATTTTAAAGAATAAATTAATTACCTCTAATGAAAATTACAATTTTATTATAACTAATAATGTTAAAAAAAAAAATTCCTTTTAAATAACTTAGCAAAATTTTAATACAAAAATTTTAATACAAAATGAATGAAAAAAACAATAATAATAAAATAAAATTACTTTTATCCTTTCTTAATGTTTTAGTAAACAGTTTTTATAAATAAATGATCATGTATATGATTTTAATTTCAGATAATAATGCTAATAAAAATTATTTTTTTTATATTATGTAAAAAATTTATTGAAATTTTTTCCTTTTATTTTTATTCGCGATAGACTTTAATCTATTTTTATTAGGATTCACGACACTTGAACTTTCATCCGGATGAAATTTATGATGAATAGAATTGTATAAACTTTCACCTTCCACCGAATTTTGTAAGATGTCTGAGATTTCCGTTTGGGAAAGACTTTCTAAATGGTCCAACGATTTTCCTCGTGACAACAACACATTTATATTTTTATTTGAAACTCCTGGCAACTGCGACATAAATTTTTTTATACCGGGATTAAATTTATCTTCGTCTGTGGCTGTTTCTTCGATTCCTATACCTAAAGCAGTAGCGGAATCAGGCTCAGGATGTCCTTGCTTGAGTTCTTCGAATAGCTGAGCAGTGGCTGTTGGATTTGGAGACCATATAATCCTCAATTGAGGAAAGTGTAATGTTAATAATTGTAGTTTTGTTACCAATTGATCGGAAGAAGCATCTGTACTCAGATAATAACGACTCTAAAAATAATATAAAAGTTTATTTAAGGTATGAACTCTTCATTTCAATATGTGTAAAATTTTTAACACGTACCTGAAGGTCAAATGGCTTGTCTTTATCAAATTCTATTAGTAGCATAGGTTTAGAATAATAACGAGTCATGGCAGTGGCTTGATTGTACAATCGTCCAGAATTCAGTGACTGAATTAAATCAGATACACTTTTTCTTTCTAAACAGATATCCGGTGTTAAAATATAATCTCCCACCTTTAAAATAAATAATTGAATTACAATTTATTAATGCCACAATTGTATAAATAATAAAATTGATTATTAATTTTAAAATAACTGACCGTAATCGTTAAAGGCTCGATTTCGATTCCTCTTGCATGTATAATGGCCGGAAGTTCACTTTTGAATTCTCTCATATCAACTATTATTTTCGAATTCCCCTTTTTGGGGGAATCGATTCCTCCTTTTCTTGTTTTATTTAAAAACTGGGCAGCAGCACTCTCATCATCTCGAACCAATTCTGGATAATCATTAAGGTCGGTAGGAATGACAATTCTCTGTAATATTTAATTATAAAATTTATTGTTAAAGGACCTTTTTTTTGTATTTTAAATCCTATTAAAAACTTACGGCTTTTTCTTCAATTAAAAAATCAAAGGCTTCTTTTTCTTTTCTTAAAGACGTCAAGTAAGATTGTTCCTCGATGGTACCTCCAAAAACCAAAAAATACACTTTGATCTGGATTTCAGGATTCTTTCTTTGATAAACCTCCACCTGACGTACTAAAGTCATTTCTGGGTCGTAAATTATAATCCAGCGAGGTTTCTGTTCTTCTAACATTTTTGGTAAACTCATCAAGTTCTTTTTGTATGATTTGATAACAATCACAGGAGATTTTTTTGAATTAGGCTAAAAAAATAAAAAAATTATTAAAATGTTTGTGTCGAACTTAACCTTTAAAAAGAATTGAATGAAATTTTTATATTAAATTTTTTTTTTTTAATGACATTTTTAATTATAATTAAAAAATTATTATAAACAAACGTTTAATTTATAAACTTACCGTTAACAATGTTTGTTCGTTGAGCAAGTCACATTTTTGAGTAAAAGAAATCCTGTCTTCAAAACAACCGGCTATGTTTACTTTTTCATCAGTTTCTAATTTAGAAGTTCCAAATTCGGAAAGGGATAAAATATAAGTATCATTTTCTTGTTCTTCTCCAATCTCCTCTGACTCTGAAGGAACCGAATTTTGTAAATCATCTGTTTCCTGAAAAAGAAATTTCAATACAAATTTATTTACAATTATCTTTACTAATAGCCAAAAATAATTAAGTATTTTTTTTTTTTTTACCTTTTCATTTTTCTTTACTTCTTCAACATTTTCTTTTACATTTTTAACATGGATTTTGTTGAATAAAAATTTCCTGCTTTGAATTTTCAACAGTTCTTCTTCTCCAGTTGTTAAGTACTAAAATAATTTAAAAGATTCTATTATTGAATTATTAAAATAATTAATTATTTATTAAGGAAAAAAAACTTTATTATTTTTTGTAGCTGACCGTTTGTAATTGAAAACAGTTTCTTTCATCTCTGGTAAGTATTAAAATATCCCCAAAAATTTCACATTCACTACTTTGAGATTCATTTTTTGTTGTATTAGGTTCTTCATCAAACATTTCTTTCATTTTTTTTTCAACATCATCATTGTCCGAGTTTTCAACTTTAACCATCGGCTCTTGTTTTTTAAACTCTTTATGAATTTCCAATAAAATTTCAGATAATATAAGCCATTTTGGATGAGGTTCTGCATTCAGATGTTTTGGGTCTGTTGGATCTGCATCTATGCTAGAAAATACTCTTTGCTTTGCTGTATTAAAAACAATTTCCGCAGATGGTAAAAAATGCCACCCAGAACCTTTCATAGCACAATCAGACTTTCTTTGAGAATTTATTAATGAATAAAAAGAAACACTATCTCTAGTTAGTAATGATCTAAAAAAAAAATATTGATTTTTCTTACAATCCCTTAAATTTACATTATTAAAATAATTAAAATAATAATTTCGAAAACAAAACTTACAAAATCATATAATGAAAAAGTTTAAGGTCTGCTAGTAAAGCTTTAGTTCTTTCACTGAGTGCATGCCAGACTGCGTCTAGTTGAGAATGTAAAACTTTAAAATATGTTTCATTAATGGCATTTTCAACAGTAATTTCTTCTGTAACAAGCTAAATTAAATAATAAAATAATTAATAATGTACTGATGAAAGTTTTTAAAGACAACTAGATAAAAAAATGATACATAATTTCAAACTTGTTTACCATTGGATTCAGTTTTTTGAGTTCATCAATGGTGGATTTTATTAAATCAAGTAGTGCAGATTGAAGTTGTAACATTTTTTTGGTCATTTCCAAATGAAGTTCAACAACAACTGGCTGAAAATAAATTTAAAAAAATTAAAAAACAATTAGAAAAAGTACATTTAAAAATATAATGTATTTACCTTGCACTGATTTAAACTACTTTTAACTATTGCATGATATCGAGGCCATAGTAGTATATTTCTGGTAAATAAAGCTTTTAATATTTGTTCAACTTTATTAAAACCTCCGGTAAAAGCTGTTGCTTGGTCAGAAAAGGCCTTAATAAAACCATTCTAAACAAATTTTTAAGTAAGTAATCATTGGTTTTAATTTATAAACTTTTTTAAAAAAATAAATGTCTACAACTTACTTTATTATCTTGTCTATAAAGTCTCAATACAAATGCATCCAAATGATTTTTTAAAATATTGTGAGCTTTACAAACCACAAATCCAGTAATTAAATCTACAGGTAGTCTTTTTTTTAACATGTCAACAATTAATATTCTAGATGAAACAAACCATAATCCACCTTCCAAATAAGATTGCTTTCTTTCAGCAACTCCTACTTCAACGGAAACTTTAGGTTTTGGATTCACATCGATTGAATTTAATTTCTCAACCAACCATTCCTGCAGTTTACCTTCTGCCCCTATTACAAAAACCAAGTTTCCAGGATCACAATAAACTTTCAGGAGGCTAACTATCACAGACTCAAGTCCAAGCCCTCTAAAAATTAAAGAAAATTTAAAGAAAATTTTTTAAAAAGTTTTAAAATTGAAATAGAATAAAAAAATTATTTAAACAAAAAAATTACTTTGCAGCAATTACCAATCCATCATCCTGCAAAATATCCAAAAAAATTTGTTTCTCATACTCCAACATTGTTGTTTGTCTTGCATTACTCTGGAAATTAAAGTAAATGAAATATTTTTTATTTTTAAAAGAGTTGACAAATAATTTAAAATGACATATATATTGTTTCTGTTTTATTAAAATATTTTTAATCTATCTTCTAAAATTTTTAAAAGCCATGCAAACAAATTTCTTACTTTTTCATTAAATGAACAATTTATGAAAAATTCTAATCTTAATTCTTAAATTTACAACTTTTGTAACTCTCCATAGACGCGCAACTTTTTAAGTATTAAATAAATTATCTTCTGCTATTGGAGAAGTGTGTAGAACTTTGAAGAGAAAAAACAAATAAAGTCTTGTTTCTTTCAAAATTGACAATGGTAATATCTATAAAATTAGGAATTGACCAGTTTGGTAAACAGTTCTTTAAAAAAAATAGGTGAAATTAATTTTTCCTACAATTTTTTAATTTTTTAAAAATAATATTACATTTATCGCGTGTAAATTACATAATTATAGTTATTTTATTATTTTAGGTCCAAAAGACCGCTATGGAATACTTGGTCTAATTGTAAATTTTCTTCAAATACTAAATCGCCGTCGTCTCCTTCAGAATTACCCATTGATAAGTCAACATCTGTAAATAACCAACCAAGTTTGGCTGAACCTTTACCAGGTTTATCAAAAATAATTTATACAGTTGATAAAGGAGAGCAATTTAAAACCCATGTGACAACTTTGCCCAATGGGTTAAGAGTTGCTTCTGAAAAAAAAATGGGACAGTTCTGTACTGTCGGAGGTATAAAACATGTTTCAAATTTAAAAATTATTAAGACTAAATTATAGAGTAATTGAAATTTAAAATTTATTTTTAGTCGTAATCAATTCAGGGTGCAGATATGAAGCAAATTATCCCAGTGGCATATCACATTTTCTGGAAAAATTAGCTTTTGGTGTAAGATTATCACACTACGATTTCAAAAACTGAATTTAAACTATTTATGACTTTACAATTTCATGATATACAAAGAATTGATGATTTGTATTTTTGTTATTTGCTATTTTGATTATTACTCTTATTATTTGCAGTCAACTTCTGAGTTTCTCAACAAGGATAAAATTTTATTTGAGTTGGAAAAATATGGAGGGATATGTGATTGTGAAGCCTCAAGGTAATTCAAGTTTTTTTGAATATTCATTCTTTTTGTTTGTTACAATTTAGTAATCATTGACTAATTATTTTGCTAAGGGATGCTTTTGTTTATGCTGCATCAGCTGACATTAATGGATTAGACCCAGTCATAAAAGTTTTAGGAGAAGTGACTTTGAGACCTAAATTGGCTCCAGAGGAGGTAGTTCTCTCTAAACTAAGTTCTATTTAAATTTTTAAATTAAAATATTACATTTTGTTAAAATAAATGTTAATTTTTTAAGGTGGAATTGGCCAGACAAACAGTTCAATTTGAACTTGAGTCATTGCTCATGAGACCTGAACAAGAACCTCTTTTAATGGACATGATTCACGCTGTAAATAAGTACTTATTTTGTGGTACAACCAAACTGAAACCTCTAATATACATTTTTATATTTATTTTATTTTAAAGGCTGCTTACAAAGATAATACTCTTGGTTTACCAAAAATATGCCCTGCAGAAAACATAGAAGTTATTAGTAGGGAACTCCTTTTCACTTATTTAAAAAATCATTACACTCCAAAAAGAATGGTTATTGCAGGAGTAGGAGTTGAACATGAAAAACTACTCGAAAGTGTTAATAGGTAAAACCTAAAATTTGAATTAAATGATTATTTTCAATTGAACAGACAAATATTTGAAAAGAAAAAATTAATTAATTATTGTTTTTTTAGGTATTTTGTTGAAGAAGAGCCGATTTGGGAAAAAGATAAAAGCTTAGTACTTAAAGAAGAAATAGGTGTAGATGATTCAATTTCACAATACACAGGAGGAATGATACAGGTTTTTTTTTGTTTCAAAGTTAAATTTACTTTTAGATTATTAATTTTTTTTTTGTTAATATTAACATAAATTGTTAACACAGGAACAATGTGAAATCCCTCTTTACGCGGGTCCCTCAGGATTACCAGAATTAGCTCACATTGTTTTAGGTTTTGAAGGTTGCTCCCATAAAGACCCTGAATTTATTGCTGTGTGTGTATTAAATATGATAATGGGAGGCGGAGGTTCTTTTAGCGCTGGAGGTCCTGGAAAAGGAATGTATACGAGGCTGTACACCAACGTTTTAAACAGGTATAATTATTAATAATAATAATAATTAAAGAAAAAGTTGTGTTTTCCTATAACAAATTATTTTTTCGACCTCTTTTTTAAAAAAATAGGTTTCATTGGATGTACAATGCAACTGCTTACAACCACGTGTATGGAGATACCGGATTGTTTTGCGTTCATGCAAGTGCTCCACCTCAATACGTAAGAGATATGGTACAAGTAATCGTACAAGAAATGTTAAATATGACGGGAGAAATTTGTCCGATAGAATTAAAAGTTGGTTCGATGTAATATTACGATTGAATGGGCGTAAAAAAAAAAAAAATTTTTCCTAAAAAAAAAATTGTCATTTTTCAGAGAGCTAAAACGCAATTACAATCAATGTTGTTGATGAATTTAGAATCAAGAGCTGTCATTTTCGAAGATATTGCACGACAAGTTTTAGCCACAAACCACAGGAAACCTCCCGAATATTTTATCGATGCCATAGGTAATCATCAATTTTTTGTTTTTTTTTTTCGAGAATCGGTAATTTTTCATTGAAATTTTTTTTTTTACCGTTTAGAAAAAATAACGGAAGATGATGTTAGAAAAATAGCACGAAAACTTGTCAGTACGAAACCATCGGTTGCAGCGAGGGGTGACATACGAAAATTACCATCTTTTTCAGACATTCAAGCAGCTGTCCTCGACGCGGAAGGAAGACTACCGGGAGGACAAGGTCGATTGTCTCTTTTTCGGTGAAAAATTACTAAAAAAATTTTTTAAAATGACCATTCATATGAAAAACACTATTCTTAAATGAATATAATAATTAATTAGAAATACCCATCACCGTAAATAGCACCAAGAAAAAAAAAGAAAAGAAAAAAAACTAAAAAAGTTTTATTATTTAAAAATTATTATAAAAAAATTAATAAGAGAAGTATGTTTTTTTTATTAGTTAAGAATTTAAAATTTTATTATTTCTCTCTGATATTTATTTCAAATCGTTCGTTCTTCATTAAAATTTTTTTTTTATATTATTATTTTCATTTTAATGTAAAATTCCTGGAAAGCCGCCATCTTTGCAGAAGTAATTGCGAATTTTAATGTAATATTGATGGATGGCATATCATGAATTTGAAAAAATTTTCGGTGAAATTATTATTATTATTGATATAAAAAAGAAAAAAATGATATTTGAAATGATAAATACGTTGAAGAAAAATAATTATAATTGAAATAGTCATTTTTAAAAATAAAATCAACTTTGACACATGTAGTTATTAAGTTCTCGAGAGAAGCAATGATTTTTACCATGAGTTACCGACAATATTAAATTAGCTTCTTTAAAATATTTTTTAGCCTCGTCAATATTATTTAAAAGAAATAAAATTTTTCCTAATTTCATAAGAAAAATCCCTCTCAGCGGATGATATTCTCCATAATATTTCCTAAAAACCCACCAATGCAAATTGTTGAATAAACAAATAATGGTTAATTATAAATAAATAATTAAAAATACTTACAAAAAAGGTTCTAATAATTGTCGTCCGTAAAAAACGGCAGATTCCCAATTTTCAAGAGCTATTGAACTCTCCATGGCCAAATCTAAAATTTTTACTTTGTAAATATTTAAAGGTGTTAAATATTTTTCTTGTTTTTGCAAGCATATCCTGCAAATATCTAAATCTAAAGTCATAAATATTAAGAAATAATTCATGTTTAAAAATTACTAAACCTGTAAGAGAAAAAAAAAGTTAAAAAAAAGATACAAGCCATATTTTCCATTTTATTTAATTCACTTTCGGTGTATTGTATTATTTCTTTTATTTCATCTTCGTCTTCTTTAGAAATGGATTGTCCACATTTATGGCATTCAACTTCATTTGGCTGCAAAAAAAATTAAATATATTTTTAAAGAAATAAATAATTAAAATTTTTAATATATAAATCTTTCAAACTTGATTCTTACCATTAAAAAGTTTTTACATTTTTCATTTTGACAATATATTGATTTCATGAAATTAAGATTGTCAGAATCTGTACATTTTGAACATTGACAAAGAAAATAATATGAAGATAAAAGCTCCTGTTGTCTAATCTCTGGAAGATTCAGTAGTTCAATGTATGAAATGAATACCTGAAAATTTAATTAAAATTTTAAATCAAAATTAAAAAAAAAATGTTTACATTTAATTAAACCCTTACCTTTGACCAATCCATAATTGGAATATCTTCTAAGGTTCTAATAAAGATTGTAGTACCTTTGAAAACAGCGACTGCATTCGGTGAACAAGAATGATCGATGATAGAGGAAGCAAGGTACAATCCAGATCCAATACTTTGCATTTCTGAATCAAGGATATTAAAAGTATTTATGACCATCTGATAAAGTATTGAATAAACATTTTTAAAAGAAATAAATTTTAAATAAATTAAAATAAATAAATAAAAATTTACAATTAAAATTTTACCTTACAATAAATAACTAATAATTCTGCTGTATTCGGAATCAATTGATCTTGTAAATATTCGTGTAGAACAGAATTCAATGACATAAAATGTTCTATTCTTTTTTCATCTTTTTTTATTTCATTATAATCTAAAAACAAATATAAAACTCTTAGTTCATTTAATAAATTTTGTGTATTATTTGAAAATTTTTAACTAAAATAAACTAAAATAACAACAAATGTTATATTTTAGTATTGTTATGGCCAATGTTATATTCTACTAAATAACTTACGAGACATTAAGTCCTTAAATTTACGATAGTTTGATTTAGTATAGTAAGATTTTTCATCTGCACCCCCTTTCTAAAATTAATTATAAATATAAAAAAGTGAACCCTTAATGAGTTAACTCTTAATAAGAAGCATTACATTTAATTTTATGATTATTCTAGATAGTAATCTAGCAGCATCCGGCAATTTTCGAGGAGCTATCCTTTTTAAATTATGGCATTCATATTTATGAATAATCCATCCATTTTTTTGACAAGTACGATCACAATAACGAACAAAGGCACATCCTGAACATTTCATTAATTGACTTCTGAAATTTTTTAAAATAAATAAACCAATTAATGAAATGTGAATTTGAAAATAATTTTTAATTATTATATATAATTTGTTTTTAATTACTTTTTAAAACAATCATCACATCTTTCAGAAGATAGAGAACCTTTAAGAGCAAATGCAAAAGGTTTTTCAGTAATCAGTAAATCTCCTTTACATTTTTCATTATTTTTCACTTGACGAGCCATGATTAAAAGAATTTATTTTGGAACCATTTAAATTAGAAGTGGCAGAAGAAAAGATATTTTTTTTTCAAATAGAAGCTATTAATTTGAACAGGCCAAATTATTAATTTTTTCTTTAATTTACAATTAATAATTTAATTTTGTTTAAGGCAAAGAGTTATTCCTTTTAAAAATCATGTTTTTATCTATAAATCTTATGTATTCAAAAATGTAATGTAATAAATTGTTTACTTTTTTTTAATTGTGGTGTTGGTGAATACAAAGTTAATCAAGTTATTTCAAAAAAAAATTTTATAGTGAATACTAAATTGTGTAATAGTTTTAAAATTTAAAGTATTCGCTATTATTAAGCTTACAATTAATACTTTTCGGTTGAATGATGTGTAATAACAAGTAAGTTTTATGTAAAAATTAATAATATTTTTAAAATTTGACAGTTTGTCTAATAATTTGTCTAAAAGGGAGAATAATTGTGAAAAGTTTTTTACAAAACTATCCTAATTTTTCATCGTCATAAAGATAACAATTTTACATACAAATATAAACAAAGTTTTGCTATTATTTTTTAAATTTGTTTATTTTTATTACGTAAAGTTCTTTCGCACTAAAACTTTATATAGTCAGTTATCAGTTAAGTTTTAACACCGGCCACAGTTCAACGGTTTTAAAGTGTAATGATCATGACTAAACTTACACATAAATAACAATAAATTTAATTTGAAAATATTGGAATTCCTTAACTTTACCCCATTGTAATTATTATTTTTTTAAAAAATTGCTTTTTTACTGGAATCCCTCAGAAATGAAATTTTTCCTTATAGATTTTATTTTAATAAATTCCCACATTTAATTTCTTTTTTTTTTTTCTCCCCATTTTTTTTGTATCCAATCACAATTTTTTTCGTAATAGGAAGTATTATGTACTCACAAGCCAAGTACTGTAAATACTCAAACCACGTGTTATCGATAAGCCTGGTCGAAACGTTAGGGAGTTTTGTGTGCAGTTGTATATAAACTCTTAGTATACGTTACATGACCTTTGAGCGCGTCCGCGGTTTAAAAAGTTTTAAATTCTGACTTTTCCTTGAATTTTTGATAACCTTTTTATTGTTTTTTTTAAGTTGCCATTACATATCGAAATGCCTAGTGTATATTCGAGAATTAAAATGGCTCGTGATGTTTTATCATCATTCAATAATAATAATGGAAAAAAGCAATTTCATTTATCGAGAGAACTAATGAATTACGAGGTATGTTGTTAACAAAATTTTCTGTTTTTTTTTTTTTTTTTTTTTTTGTAAATACATAATTATTTTTAATTTGATATACAACAACAATAAGTCAGTTAAAGAAATTTTTTCTTATTATTATCATCATAATCTTTTAGAATGCTATCAAAAAATTAAATACGCTTCAAACAAATGCTTCTGTGTTAGAATTATCAAGACAAAGAGGAAAAGTCAGTCATGTAGAATTGGCATCAAAAGTTGATTCTACGGTCCAGTATTTACAAAAGTAAGTCAGGGTTTTGTTATGTTAAAAACTAAAATAGTTTTTTTAAGTTAAAACAATAACAACAACAAAAAGTTATCATTTCTTATTATCATTAAGCCTAACTCCAGAAACAATCAAAAAAAATTTAAGTTTTATTCATTTACATTATTATTATTATTAATTAAAACAAATGATTTTCAATTACAAAAAAAAAAAAAAAAAAAAAAATTTAATTTAATAATGATAATAATCATTTAACTCATTGATTAAATTTTGAAAAGATTCGAGTTGTTTATATTAAACCGTTTCTTAAAATAGAAAATAAGAGTGTGTGCCTGAAAACCAGTATTTTAGATACCATCAATAGTTAAAAACTAAGGCCAAGTTCCAGTACGGTGTTGAAATTATTGTTTTGATTGTGTAACTTGTTTTTATTTTTATTTAGTAGCTTCGGGCGGCTAAAAAACAAAAGTGAAACTTAAAATTTAAGACGTAGAAAAATAATTCTTCCTCCCTCCATAATTTAAACAATTTTTATTGGTCGCCATCGGTTCATTTAAAATATTCTTACGTTTAACATGAACTTGGGTCCAACTTTAATTATTCTATAGACTTTGATCTCTTATGGTTTAAATTTAATGGGTTACTAATGGTTACAAGTATTAAAATAAAATTTATTGTACGTACACAAAGTTAACAAAATAAAAAAATTTCCTGACTCAAAGTAAAGAAGGTCTTTTCCAAGGATTTATTTAATAAATCGACGGTTAAATATAACATAAACAAGGTTTAAAAATTAATTTTTTGATTATTTAGGAAGAGAAAAAGTTTGTTTTCCTTTACATTTTTTTTAATTATTCGATTGACCTTATATACACCTGATACCACCACCACCACCACCACCCTAATACCGGTACTTTGTGTAGGAGGTGCGCGATAACTTTCATATTTTATCGTTTTTATTTACAATACGGAAATTAAATATGAAAATTTATTTGATTTTAATTTTGTTAATTATTAGTAATTTTAGTAATATTTAAATTTAAGTTTGAATGTTAAACTTCCAAACCGTTTAAAAAAAAAAAAATAAATAAAATAAAGAAAGAGAAAGTAAGATGTCACGGTTAAAAGAATTTCGATTATTTTTATCGACAAAATAAAATAACGCCACAAATCACTTTTTTTTTTCTTATAAAATTTTTGACAATACATGAAAAACATACTAGTGTTCGATTAACATTCAAAAAAAAATAATTAAAAAAAAAAAGAAAAATGATAATTAATAACAGGAGCAAATGTCAGTAAAATTATTTCGTAAATTAGAACGAAATGATACAAAAATAACTAATTAAAAATTCTGATAAATAAATATTATAAATTTTAATTAAAAAACAAACGAAATAAACATTTTATGGTTAAAAAAATTTAAAATTATAATTAATTACGTACTCCTGTCAATGTGATAAAACAATTTTTTTTTTTTTTAAAGTCATTAATAATTTTACTTTTAAACTTTTTGGTTTTGTTTTAATAATGAATTTTAAAATAAGAAATGATAAACAATTTTTTAAAAAAATTAATTCATTTATAAGCAATGAACCTGATTCATTCAGTGTTTTCCTTTTCCATACAGGTTTTTGTACTATTTTTTTTTTTTTTTTTTTTTACTTGTTTAGTATTAAGACTTAAAACTCTGCATTTTATTAAATTATAAATGTATTATTTTTAATTTATTAACTTAGAACGGGGATAAAATTGGAAAATATAAATCAACTTTCAATAATTCATGTGTCAGGAACTAAAGGAAAGGGAACAACATGTGCTTTATGTGAATCTATATTAAGGCATCACGGATATCGTACAGGTTTTTATTCTTCACCACATTTAATTCATGCGAGAGAAAGAATTCGAATAAATGGCATGCCACTTGGTTTTAATCAATTTTCCGAATATTTCGAAGAAGTCTACGATCAAATAGTTGAAAAAAAGGTATTCCTATATAATATTACATATTGAAATTTATATTTTCATGATGTTTTTCGAATAATTAAAATATTCAATTTTCGTATCGATCTATATAATTATTACAGTTTATATTTTTTTTTGACTTGTTTAATTGTCATTTTTTATTTAGGAACACGAAAATGACATGCCGGCTTATTTTAAATTCATGACAGTTTTGGCATTTAACGTTTTTATCAAAGAAAAAGTGGACGTTGCCATCATCGAAGTAGGAATCGGGGGAGAATATGATTGTACGAATTTCATAAGGTAATAAATCAATTTAACTTACAATTTGTATCGCTCCATCAATGGCGAAAGGAAAAAAACAATTTTTTTTTTTATAGAAATCCATCTGTCGTGGGAATAACGTCTCTTGGAATGGATCACACAAGTATATTAGGTAATAACATAAGCGAAATAGCGTGGCAAAAAGCGGGTATAATGAAACCTGGTGCCACGGCATTTACCGTTCCTCAAAAATATCCCGGAGCTTTAGAAGTTTTGAAAGAGCGCGCATTGAGCAGAAGAGTAAGTTTAATTTACAATTTTTATATCGGTAGAGTTTTATGTGTAGACATTTTTAAATAATATTTATTTTAGTGCAAATTGTACGTGGTGCCTTCATTAAATTCTTATTTGTGGGATTCATCAGTTGATTTTATTCGCGATGGCGATAACGTTCAAGCATTAAATTCATCTTTGGCTTTGCAATTGGCTAACGAATGGATGAGACTTCATTCTCCCTGTAAGTTTAAAAGCTAAAGTTATTAAAATGAAAGATTTAAATTTGTTCGAATGGATGATTTGGGTTTACGTAGATTAACAATTCGCAAATAATAATTAAAGTTTTAACGTTTAGTTGTGGAAAAAGTCGAAGAGAAAACAATGCAAGACCTATCGGAAGCCATTCCAACAGCAAAAGCATTCCAAGTAACCAAAAAAATGATAGACGGATTAAAAGATTGTTCTTGGCCTGGAAGAACACAAATTTTACCGAGAGAAAAATTAACTTATTTTCTCGATGGCGCACACACGGAAGAAAGTATTAAACATTGTTCGAATTGGTTTAAAAAATGTTCGAAAACGTTACTGTGAGTTTTCTCATTGAAAAAAAGAATTATATACAAAAAATTTACAATGACTTCATAATAAAAAATTTTTAAATATTTTTCTTCGTAGAAGCAGCGACAAAGAAGACAATGTAAAAAAAATTTTAATTTTTAATACGACGGGACAAAGAGACGCGGAAAAATTTTTGAAACTTCTTTCAACTAATAATTTTCAATACGCAATATTTACGACTAACGTAATTTATCCGAAACCAGGTAATTGTTCAGACAGTAATAATAATAATATTGGGAGCGAAGAAGCTAGAAAAGTAGCTGAAACGAATATGATGCTGTGGAAAAAACTCGTACCATCGAATGAAGATAATTGCACGGTAATTATAAAAATCGATACGTCACGAAATACTTTTAAAAAAGATTTTTTACGTATTTTTTCGGTTCGTACAATCGAATCACTCTTATTTACATAAAGACAAAATTAAAAATAAAAATTATCATTATTATCAGGTCACTCCAACGGTATCAGACGCATTAAATTTTGTAAATAATTTTGCCAACGAAAATGGATTTTGCCACGTTTTAGTGACCGGATCGTTACATCTCATTGGCAACACTCTAAGCATATTAGATCCAGAATTGTTGGAACCTGTTCACAACGTTCCAAAGGATCTTAAACCTCTTCAAAATATTTACAAAAGCTTACAAGCAAGTTTGTAAAAAAAAAAAAAAAAAAATACAACATAAAATAAACAAAAAAACAAAACAAAAACAATTTTCTTAAAATTAAATTTTTTTAAATTGATATTTTCATCAATTTTTTTTTTTTATTTATCGTGTAAACTATGTATTATTTATTTATTATTCTTAAACATATTAAAAATAAGTCATTGTAATCAGCAGTATAGTTTTTTTTTTCTAGTAGTATTTTGTATATATTTAATTAAACAAAAAAAATTTGAATTAAAATAAAAAAAAAATGAATCTCAACTCGTAAATGTTTCCGATATTATTATTATTATTTTGTTTTTGTTATTTAAATTTAAGAAAATGATATTATAAATTTAATTATATTATTAATCTTATTAATTTTATATATATTCTGTCGAATGCAAAAAAAATTATGTAAATTATGGCTGTGTTAATTTTTTGTTCCCTATAAAAATATACTTAATTATATAAATTTATTTTTTAAGGCATCACATTAATAAATTTTTTTATGTTTTAATATATATATACATTAATAAAAAAAAAAATTATAATTTTAATTATGTTTTTATTATCATTTTATTTTACGTTTTACGTATAAATAATCTTTTTAATTAAAAATTATTTAATACGTTTGTTTTTTTTTTATTTATGTATATTATGTAAATATTTATAATAATTATTTTTCAATAAAATTTATTTTAATATAATAATTGATTTAATTCATTTAATTAATTAATTAGTTTTCTTGTTAATAAAGAGAGATAATTTTTATTCTAATTACATAATTAATAATTTTATTCGTTGAGATCAATTTTTTTTTTTTTATGAAAGCCAAGAGGTCAAAAATACATAATTTTTTTATTAATATATTTATATTTTTACATAAAATAATTTTTTATTTAAATTTTATTAATGAATCATCCTCTCTCGTAAATAATAATAATAATAAAAATTAATAAATATTTAACAAAAAAAAAAAAAAAAATTTGTATTCGATATTTTTAAACAATTTTATTTTTATTTCATTTTCTTTTTAATAATATTTTATTAAAATAAAAAAAAACTTTGGTTGTATATTTGAAATATATATATATATTGATTTATTTTACTGTTCGAATAATTCTAATTATAAGTGACAGCTATTTAGAAAAAAAAAAAATCCCAGAAAAAAAAATTTTATATAAAATAAAAACAAATTTTTTTTTTCTTTTTTTTTTTTTTATCATGAGAGTTTGTCAGCATCTTCTCGAGTCTCGAATCAATCGCGATTAATAATATTTAGACTAGAATGCATAACTTTTTTATAATAATAATAATAATAATTACTAATTTCCGGATATTATTTTTTTTTTTTTTTTTACTGCAATTCGTTAATAATAAAATTTTTTTTTTTTAACCAACTACCTTGCATCCGATGCTTCGTCGGTTAAAAAATTAGTTTCGGAATCAAGTTCATTTTCAGATAATGATTGACCTCTTCGCGGTACGTTTGCTGTTGAATTTTTCTATAATGAAACAAACAGAAAAAAAAATAATAATAATAATATCTATTGTTATTTTACGGTAAACGATCGTCGTGGATTAAAAATTTAAATCTTTTAACCATGCGTCCATTTTTTTTTCCACTGCGAAAAATGCAACATAATTTCAAACATAATAAAAAATTTTTTAAATTAATATTAAAGTCCATCTATTATAATTATTTACAATCTATTTTAATAATATTTCAAATGATAATGGAGGAAGGAGAATAAAAAAAAAATAATAATAATAATTTCCCACAAATCATTTTAATAAAAAAAAAAAAATCCTTCTTTTTTTAAAAAAAACGAAGCTACGCAGATGTTAAATAACCATTTTCTCCATCCGAATGATGATTCTTAACACAAATATAACATTTATTAATAATTAAAATAAATAAATAAATAAATAAAAATTATTAAGTATTATACTTACGGAAAGTATAAAGGCTGAAGGTTCAGACGCGTAACCAACGTTTATATCGTCATCGTCATCATCATCATCTTCAGTTTCAGACGTGCTTGATGACATGTCTGCAATAAAAAAAAAAAAAAAAAATTTCATTTTACTACCCAATCATCGTAACTTTTATGTATTTAACCCCCGGTGGCGGGGGGCGGGGGTCAGGTTTACCAGCAGTAACGTGTTTTCTCGGTACTTTGCAAACCATTTGAGCTAAATCGGTAAATGTATAAGTTGGATGACTTGCAAATGGCCGCCTCGTAGCAACGATATCAGTTTTGAAAAGTGGTAACACACCCGCTTTTAATAATCTCGCAAAATAAGTTTTACCGTAAGTGTAACCAACTTCCTAAAAAAAAAAAAAAAAGGTACATACTCTTAAGACAACATATTAATTTTATAAATCGAAAATAAATAAATAAATAAAAACCTTTATTTCATCGAAGAGAGCAAATTGTAATGTTTTGTATTTGTCTATCGGTGGCCTTAGATATTCGCAATAGTCGCTATTTTTAACTTCTTCCAATTGTCGTACGCAACAAACGTACGACAACCTCGATTGTATGTCCGATAAATCAGGTACTTTAACAGGTTTGGTAAAAGGATTCCATTTTTTATACAAAAGCCAAAAACCGGATAAAGAATCTCCGTAATTGGTTAAATCTTGATCATCGTGAGCACCCACATCGATGGCAAGAATATGACGAGCTCCTTCGTTTCTCATAACATCAGCTGTGTTGTTATTTATAAATAAAAGAGGTCAAAATGTTAATTAATCTCACAAATAATTATTTAATATAAATAAAAAAAAAATGTTTAAACAATCGAATGGAGCGCCTGAATTAAAGCTTTTCTTGTAAATAAAACAAAAAAAAAATTTTCTTTTCTTTTTTTTTTTACTATAGCAAACCACTTTATTGATATAGTTTAGTAGTAGTAGTAGTAGTAGTAGCAGCAGCAGCAAAAAAATAAATAAAATAAATAGAAATAAGATTTAAATTTTTTTTTTTTTTTTTTTTTTAGTAGTAGTACAAATAATAATAATAATATTATTAACAATAGTTACAAATTATTGCGACTTCATTCTACTACCGATGCCAAAGAATTGATTTGTCATGTCATGTATTTTTTTTTTTTTTTTTTTTTTTTTTTTGACAACAAAAAAATTTTTTTACATATCAAATTTCGAGTTACGGATGTACCTGGCACGTTATTGACATAACACCCATCGCAAAGCAGATGCCCGTCTACTGGATCACAGATAGGTGGAAGGACTCCGCTGATTGACATGCTCGCTCGTATGTATTTCCATAGAAAACCTGCAAGTCACCTCAACTCAGGGTGGGACCCCCCCCCTCCCCCCCCTCTATCTCTCTCTCCCCAAATAATATCGAAAGCATCAAAATATATATTGTCTTTACTGTATTAAAGAAATAGAAGGACTGACTGAATGAGCCTCACATTTAAAAAAAAAGAAAAGAAACTCCCTTCTATTTTTCAAAAAAAATTTTTTCGGCAACTATTAACGCGCTTTTTTTTTTTTTTTTTTTAATAAGGAATTAAATAACGGCTTTGAATTTTAGCAAATATTTTTGCCCTCATTGAAACTTTTTTGTTATTTAGCAAATAATAAAATACATGCATGCTTTTAGCGTTAAACAAAAAAAAAAAAAAAAAAAAGCAACATAAATCAATCAGCATTATTATTTTAAATAACAGGTACGTGCCTTTTTTTTTTTTTTTTTTTACTAGCAAATAATTTTAACAAAAACAGCCCCATTTAATAAATACATTGAATTAAAAAAAAAAAAATATGATTTAAAGCAAAAAGTATTAAAGTTAATTTTTTTTTTGTTACACAAACACAAAATGAAAGAGAGCCAATTAACAAAAAAAAAAAAAAAAGAAAAAAATGAGAAATTCAAGTAAAAAATAAATTTTTTTTTTTTTTTTTTTTTCGAGCAAATTAAATTATCGACAGGTTTCTAACAACACTTAAAGAATAATAATAATAATAATAATAATAATGGTTTGCTATGGCAATGAAGTCGTTAATATTTTTTAACTAATCTCGTTATTTTTTATTTTTATATTCTTTCTCCCGTAGAATAATCAATTTTATTATTATTGGCAGTAAATTTATTATTTCGTGTGAGTACCTGGAAGATTGTTGACGTAGCCGCCGTCCAACAGCAAATGACCATCCACGGGATCACAGATTGGAGGCATGTATCCTGATAAAGACATCGAAGCGCGGATA